ATAATCTTTACAGAAGTAGTTCACCAGGCTTTTCTTTCATAGTGCCACTGTGTGGGTTTGAATCACAAACTGCTTACACCACTCAAACTCCTTCAGGTCCATGAGAAATAGCCAGAAGCCAAGTCAGAAATTAATTACCAAGACAGCCAGAAATGTGACATGACAGAAAGGAACAACAACTCAGTCTACCAGTTTTCACTGTGTTTTCTATGTGCCAGGTACTGCCCTGAAGAAGCAATACTGAACCAGAAAATGCCTCCGTTCTCATAGAGGTCCCTTCTCAAGGTGCAAAGCAATGTAGGCAGTAGAGGGAGTGACAAGAGGGGAGGGGATGAGAGAGGCTAGAGCTGCAGACATCACTTCATAGATAAGAGTGATGCCAGGAGCCAGATAAATGGAAGATGTCAGATTGTTGTTAGGTGCCACTGAGTTGGTTCTGACTCATAGCGACCCTATGCACAACAGAACAAAACACTGCCCTGTCCTGAGCCATCCTTCACAATCTTTGCTATACTTGAGACCAACATTGCAGCCACTGTGTCAACCCATCGCATTGAAGGTCTCTCTCCACCCCTTTTTCTTTTTCTGCTGACCCTCTACTTTACCAAGCATGAGATCCTTCTCTAGGGACTGGTCCCTTCTAACAACATGGCCAAAGTGGGTGAGATGCAGAAGGAAATGTGAAATGTAGGGATGGGATGTCTCAGATAGAACAGAAAGTAGAGGCCACGTGAGGCTTAGCTAAGAGCTCGGCACCCTCATCCCCACCCCTAGGCCAAAGTTGGATAGTAAACAGACAAGGTATTGTCCACCCTAGGGAGTTTACTGTTTGACATAAAACCCATTTTCCCTTCAGATGAGTAATCTGAGAAGTTTACTCAGTTTGCAATGGCAGAGTCTATGACAGGCTGGAACTGGCTGAAATAGTCAGCCAAAAAAAGACATTTCACCTGACAAAACTGCCTCTCAGTCAATAAGCGTTTGTTATCATCTCTGGTGGCATACTGGATAAGGCACTTGACTGCTAATGGGAAGGTCAGCAGTTCAAACCCATCAGCAGCTCTCCGGAAGGAAGACAGGGCGGTCTACTTCCATAAAAATTTACAGCCTCAGAAACTCAATGGGGGTCGTTATGAGTTGGAAATGACTCCCTGGCAGTGAGTTTGGTTTTGGTTTGGTTATCGTGTCTGACAGCAAATATTGCTGTGAATCCAAAGAAATAAGATGTGACGATGCAATGAATCTTTCTAGCAGATGCTGGGGATTATTTTATTTTGTAAATTGTCAAAAATTAGAGTTTTTAAACATGACTCTAGGTAAAAAGGACTTTAAAAGCTTAAAATTTGAAAGAATTGGTGAGGAAACTTTGATCTCTTCAAAGAATGGCTTCATCTGTTTAGATAGATGAGACAGTCTGCAAACAGGAAAAGCCAAGCTGGAGCTGAGATAGCTTTTCCAAGTAAACATTGTTCATTTTATATTGGCTGCAAATAGACATCACTTCACATCTGAAACCCTTTTGAAATTTTTTTTTTTAAAATACCCATATGCAATTTTTTAGAAAAATACACACATGCATAAAGATTGAAAGAATAGATTCCTACATCTTTTTCTAGATGGTAAGACTGACAATGATTTTTGTTCTGCTCATTATGTGTCCTCGTATTTTCAAATTTTTCAGCAATGAATCTGTATCATTTAAAGGCAGGAAAAAAATAACTTAAAAAAATAAAATAGAATTTCCTCTTTTAAAAAATGATATACAGTATGTCTGGAGTCTTGTTGTTATAACTCTAATCAGTGATGCCAAGTACTAACACTCATGTAGAGAAAGATAATCCTTTGGATGGAAATATTATCCACTATTGTCAAAATTAAACAATCCAAAGACAATGACCATGGTTAGAAGAAAGGCATGGGCATAGGCGTCTCACAGATCCAGATTAAATGCCAGCTGCAAAACATACCAGCAGTGCAACCTTGGGTAAGTTTGCTAACCTCTCTGATCTACAGTTTCCTCATCTGTAAAATGTCAGTTGTGAGGATAAAACGGCTCTCTGGGCAATAAGAGGCCATGTGCCTGAAAACAGGCAAAGTCACAGAATAAATTCAATGCATCTTCCAGAAGTAACAAACATGCTCAAAGATAATGGCTAACATAAAATAAATAATTGGCAATTCAAAACATTTTGATTTGAAAACAAATCCAGGTATATATTGGAATAGGATGCAAAATCCCATACATTTTCCAACTTAAAAAAAGATATAACAAGAAATGCTGTGCATGTGGTTGCCACATCTATTCTTTCTTCAGACCTCGGTAGCAGGAAGAGGAAAGTAAACCATCAATGTACATCCAAGAGGTCCCTCATGAAATGCCTAGGACAGGGCTGGCCCATTACAGGCACTCAATAAATAGTAAACTCAGATCCAACACAGAGCAACCCCTCCTTGGGTTTCCAAGGCAGTATCACTATGGAAGTAGATTGCCCAACTTTCCTTCTGAGGAGTGGCTGATGGGTTTGAACAGCCAGCCTTCTGGTTAGCAGTCAAGTGCCTTAGGCACTACACCACCAGAGCTCCTTACCCTTAGACAAGGGGGTGAGTATTGGGAAACTGGAGAATGGAGCCCCACACAGGATCACTGAAATGCCTGATTTTGATTTAAATGTCTATTAGTCAACTAGCTGTATAAACCACCCACTTAATTAACTTGTTCTTGAATTATTTATCATCTCACCCTGAGTGGGAGAAGAGCATTCTTTCTGGTTACTTGCTCTGCTTCAAGGGCTAGTTCAGAGAACTCCAAGCCTGGCAGACTTTCCTGGAGCCTCTGGCCAAGGTAAGCATGGAAAGGAACAGCAAATGAAGTAGTTCTGAAGAATGGGAGTAGTTAAAACTAGAATGTAAAAAAAAAAAAAAACCTCTTAAAACCCAAAGAGAGAAAAAGTTCCTTTAAAACACATTAACTGAGGTTTCTGCAGTGCTTGGGCATGCTCTTTTCTATGCCCTTTCCTATTCTAAATTAGGTAAAGTTGCATTTTCCCTCAACAACCATCAACAACCTAAAAAGCTCAGTTCTCTCCTGAAAATTAAACCCAACATTCCAGAGCAGAAAGGAAGGAAGAGGGCAGAATCCCTTTACTCCTAACTCCCAGGACTTTTGTCAACCATGAAACGTCTGTGTTCAAATCCTTCTCTCCTACTCCTAGGCTCCTAAATCAACCAAATCACAGATTTACACAGTCTTGGACATAGTGGGAAGCTCAGAGGTCATCCAGATCAACTTCTCTCACTGCAGAAATGAGGAAGGAAGTCCAGCAAGCGTCTTTCCTAAGGTTACATGGTTAGAGAAGCCCCTACATGGCACAATGGTTAAATGCTCAACTACTAGCCTAAAGGTTGGTGAGTTAAACCCACCCAGAAGCACCTCAGAAGAAAGACCTAGTGATCTGCTTCTGAAAGGCCATGGCCTTGAAAAAACCTATGGAGATGTTCTGCTCTACACACATAGGGTCTCTGTGAGTTAGAATCCACTCCAGGGGAACTAACAACATGGGTAGCAGCAGTCCTGCTCCTGGATATCCCTCTCCCTGTCAGAGAGCCTTGTAACAGGAGCTGCTCTAGCTGATCTCCTTAGCTGCTTAGTTCTATTTCAAGATAAACTCTCTAGAAAACACTTGCACAAAACACCTGCATCTCACCCACCCTGCAATTTCCTTGGGTCCTCATCTGGGTCTTCCTTTCCCAGTGTATGCGTGCTCTCTAAGGCTCACTGGAACCATGCCGTAAGGCATTCAGATCAGGGCCCTTCCCAGACACCTGCACATGCTAGACAGGAAGGGCTTTTACTGGGGGGAGATGATGCTTTGTGGTGCTCCTTCCAAAATGCTTGACCTTGGCTGATCTTCCCAACAGCCTTCTAACAGCGAGGATAGAGAGTTTATAAAACCTTGGAGGAGGAAGCCCCGAGAGTTCAATTCACTTGCCAAGTGTTACACAGTCTTTATGAAAAGTCAGCGTTCCTCAGTACTCTCTCCCTTCCTTTACACTTATTCTCCTGTCCAGAAGCTTTTTGTTCCCTCCTTCCACACCACACGGCCCACCCCTGACCATGTCCTGCAGAATTAGGACTCATGGCTGCTCGCAACCTGGGCCACCTTTTGTGATGTAGTCCTCCCTGAAGGATAGCAGGAAAGCTTGTGCCTGGGTCAGGTATGCCACCAAGAGGGAATCTTCAGGGGTTGGACTGTTCAGACCCCAGGAGACTGGAGGACACCAAGACTCTCCTAGGACAAAGGAGGAAACCATCTTCCTTCTTCCCTCTCATGGGCACTCTCTGCTGGCCTCTCTCTGCGTATATTTCCTTCACTTCTTATTTATTCCTCTTATTCCCCAACCTCCCTCTCCTCGCTTTTCTCTCTCCCTCATTTTTCTGCCGCCTTCCACTTCGTCCCCCATCACCTACATAGGTTCCCTCCCCCCCCCCGGACCTAACCTCTCCCTACTTCCCGATCCCGTCGTGTTTCCACTTTGTCTTCAATTATGTCTAAATGCAATTCACCACAGATGCTGACATTTTAAATGTTTAGTTGTTATAGTTACTTGACTAATTGCCTGGCCCGACGGCGGCGCTTCTCCTTCGCCTCCGGCGGGCGAGAGAGAAGGGGGCGGGAAAAGGCTGGGGGCAGAAGGAGTTGTAGCTGCTACTCCCGGGGACCGGGACTTTCGGTCTTTCTGGCCTCCCCGCCTGCACCGCAGGGCACCGAAGGCGCACCCGGCTCACCCTGGCCTCGGGATCCCGCGAACTATCTCCCGCCCCGGGACAAGATAGCAGGAACGGGTCTAATCTGCGGGGGCGCGGCGGTTAACCTCCTACTCTGCCCACACTGGAGAAAGTGGGGAAATGGAATGCCATTTCAGGGAAACTGGTGAAGGTGATAGAGAGAGGGGCGAGTTTGGGGAGAAAGAAGAGTTAGAAACCGCGGCCGGTTACTCACGTGCCAAATGGCGAAGAAGATGAGCGCAGCGCACAGCACCAGCGAAAGCATATAGCAGAAAGCAGCGAAAGTGAAGGCCATGACCGGCGACCAGGGGCTGCCCTCACCCCTATTCCCACCTCACGCAAAGAAGCCCCAAGAAGGCCAACGCCTCCTTCTAGTCCCGCACTCCCTCAACGGGGTGGCAGGTAGGAACCAAGTCTGCACCCTCCCCTCGAGGTCAGTGGCTAGAGGAGACACGCAAAGCCGAGTCGAGGGTCAGCGAAGAGGAGCAGGATTCCCGCAGACTCTGGAGACAAGGGACGACAGCCCGCCGGTGAAGACAGGGAATGGTGCGTCGAGCGTCGTTGGCGGGTACTGTCCCCAAACAGAGAAAGAAATCAAATCGGCTGAGAAGTCCTGCAGATTAGTGCCAACCTGCGAAGCCCTCGAAGGAAGCACAGCGAGGGGTACGAGGACTCCACGAAGACCGAGTGAGACGCTTCCGTCCCGCCGCGCCTCCCCAGGAGAAAGGCAGCTGAAATCCCAGGAAAAGCTCTCTGCTTTCCACGCCGAAACCAAAGAGGCGAGGAGTGCGCGCCGCTCCGCCCCCCGTGCGCCACCAGTGCGCAAACGAAGAGCGTCCTGCAAGGTGTCCGGACGGACACCGAGTTCCTTACGAATCCCAGAGCCGGCAGCGACTCTCTCCCGGGAGAACAGATCTTCCAGGTAGCCAAGAAGAGACGTGAAACGCTCCTCCCCTTAGTCTTGCGCCCCAAAAACGGCTTCCACCGCGGCTGTGCGCTCCGAGGCACACCGGCTCCGGCCCCAACCGCGGCCCCGGCACGCCAGCCTCGGTTATCCAAGTTTCCTGGACACAGGGGTCGAACCGGGGAGGGAACGGGCTCCAGCCCAATGGCCCTGCACCTGCCTTGGCGGCTGTAGGGGCTGCTGTCAGGCTAAGTGCTGCTCTGGCAGAGCTCGCTCCACCTGCTGCTGCCGCCGCCTCTACCGCTACGAGAACTGAAACAGCGCGTCCCGGGATCCCCTCCCTCTTGGCGCCCCACCCTCAGCTCCCGCTCCGCGGAGCACGCCCTCCTTGGCGGGCGGAGACTGCGGCGGCGGGGGCTGGGACAAGGTGGTTGGCGAAGTACCGCTGGGCGCTCAGTCGCCGGCGCCGCTGCAGTTGTGCGCGCCTGCCTTTCCGAGGAAACTTGAGACCAGCCGCGCAGGCGAGGCAGGCAGACACGCGGAGGTGGGGACGAGATGGAGCGGGGTGGGCAAGCGCAGGGACTCTTTAAACACGTGCGTCTGGAGGAGGTGGGAAGCAGCGGAAGGGTATGATGTGTGTGGATCACGAATGCGGCAGCCTTAGGGAGCAAGAGGTGGAGTAGTTGTGTTGGTTGGAAATTACTGGACAAGCCCTTGGATCCCAGGAAAGCTCAGGTGGATTTTCCCAAACTGTAGCGTCTTTAAGGAGATCTAGTGGCGCAGTGGTTAAGCACTGGGCTGGTAAAGGAAAGTTCGGCAGTTCGAACCACCAGCCGCTCTGTAGGAGAAGAATTACAGCCTTGGAAACTGTGGGGGTAGTTCAACTCAGTCCTACAGGATAGCTTTGAGTCCAAATTCATGCAAGCGCTGAGTAGAACCAAAAAAAAAAAAAAAAACCTTCACTGCCCTGGTATCTATTCAATTCAACTCATAGCGACTGAAGCAGTATCTCTTCGGAAGTAGATTGCCCAATCATCCTTCCGAGGAGTGGCTGGTGAGTTTGAACCGCCAGCCTTCTGGTTAGCAGTCAAATGCCTTAGTCACTATACCACCAGAGCTCCCAAAGAGCTGGGTAGCACCTTTAATGTTCCGTGCTGTATTTGCAGCGCTCCTCCCAGTTCGTGCAAAATTCTCCATTAGCGTTCTTCCCTCTCTTCCCCATCTGACCTTGAGTAGGGAAATGTAGGCACGGTGGACTATTCTAGATTGAACAGTTAGCAATGATGGCTGAGTGTTTTGGTATTGATGTAGTAAAACTTCCAAGAGCACGCGCTTTTGCAGTCAGACCCCTTTTGAGCTGCAAGTTTGGTAACCTCTTTAAATCTTGGTTTTCTTATTCGAAAAATAAGGATAAGACTAGTACCAACCTCATAAAGGATTAAACAGGAATGTGAGTGAAGAGCCTAGCACTGAGCCTGACACTCGGTACACATTCGATAAATGGTAGAGATATTCTCTGACGGCTTGGCCCCAGTGACCTACCATCTTGGAATTGGAACACACTTTGTATGGGATTTCTAATACAGCAGTGAAAGAGATTTCAAACATTCCACACAGACCTTGCGTCACAGTTAAATCAGTAATTAAGAAAGCAAAGAGAAATACCCTGAAAGATGAAGACCAGAACCCTGGATAGAAGAGTTAAAGCACATCGTGGTTTTGGAGTGAATCTCATAGTACCTTGTACAGGTGGATTGTTTCTAACCCTGGTTTACTAGGTTGTTATGTTCACTGGTGTGATTGCAGTGGTTTTAGAGCTAGAAGGGAAGAATTACAGAGATAACCCGATAGCAAGTTGAAGAAATTTACTGAAAGTTATACACCTAACTGCTGACAGGATTAGAATCATTAGGTCTGCAGATTCCTAAACCAGGGCTCTTTCTACTACACCCTAGTTACTTGCAACTGATTAGTCACAATTCTGAAGTGGAAACCAGATGCTGTTCAGTAGGATATGGGGAAACTGGAGCAGAACCAGAACCTATTGACCAGGGTGGTCAACAGATCAGCATTTAATTGTCCCTCTGGGTCATGGTGGGCAATCTACTTCTGTAGTGATACTGCCTTGGAAACCCAAAGAGGGGTCACTATGAGACAGATCTGACTCAGTGGATTTGGTGTTTTTGGTTTTGGGTCAGGACCAGCTAATACTTTGGAGAAGTGAGTGCAAAATGAAAATGTAGAGCTTCTTACTAAAAAAATTGCAAAGCATTGTAAGACAGCGATAGCAGAGCATTAAGCCAAGTGTGCAGCCCTTCTGAGCACATGCAGCTGCAGAGATCACACACTCATGAAACCAGTCCTGCTCTGGGTTTTACCTCCTTGTCACTTTCTCTTTTACGTAAATATGTCTTTCAATTAAGGAAATTTTTGGAAAATACAGAAATGAAAAAAAGATAAGCACCTTAGTTTTGCCACTCTCAGATACCACACCACAAAAGTTTTTTCTAACTTTATTTTGCCCTTTTTAAATTTTGTATAGATTTTTTCCTTTAGTTGTTTTAACTATACTGTATAAAATTTTGTAACACCAAGACAATAAGGTAATATCAGGAAGATTCGATAATTCAAGTATTTTGAGTCCCTTTGGGGCTGATCATTGTCTTTTGTTTCTCCTAGTTCTTGCTTATAGAGTCTTGTGACCTCATGTGTCTAGTAATTTTTTATTGTATGCCAAACATTATTTTGAAATTATTAGCAGAAATTTGAGGTCTATGGTATATTTTTCCAAAGAGTGTTTTTTAAGTTCTTTGCCAAGTTTCTGGAAAAACTAGCACTCCAGAATTACTTTAATCTAAATTCAGGGTTTGAGATTTTCTCTACTAACCAGATGACTGTAGTATGTGTGAGGACTGGTTTATTTCCAGTTTACCTTTATTCATATAGATCAGTCCTTTGGGATCCCAGGCCAAAGTAAATGGCTTATTGAGTCCACAGCCTTGGTGTTCTGACTTTTGCACCCAGCTCCACAAAACACTGAAAGGACAGCTCAACCCCTTATCTACTTCTTCCAGATTAGCAAATGCCCTTAAGGGCAAAATTGGCCCCAAATGCTAGGCTGACCTCCAGATTCCCAATCACTCTCAGAGTTGGCCCTGTTCAAAGTTGTGTTCTGTGGGAAGGTTGGTCTGAGTTATCTAGCCAAGGATTACCAGAATCAGGATTCTCGAGGAAAAGAAAATTTCAAACAAGAATTATAGTCTTTTATCCCACCAACCTGACTTTCAAATCTACCTATATAGAACCTCTATTTTTTTTTCCCCCTTTCTCCAGCCCTACTCTGTCTTGTTTTACCGGTCACAAAATGGCATCTCAGTAAAAGTGACTCCCATGATAGAATTTCAGAAAATAAGAGCCCCACGCAACTACTGGATATTGAGTCAAAAAATTTTATTTAATATTCATGTGTGCTGGGCACTGTGGACCCACAAGGTTACCAGTCTAATTGGTGAAGTAGTAAGTAACTCTTTCACAACCAATTAACCAGTTAACCAGTTCTGAGTCATGGAGACTCCATGAGTGTGTCAGAGTGAAAATGTGTTCCCTAGGGTTTTCAATGACTGTGGTCTTTCCAAGGCACCTCTGGGTAGACTTGAACCTCCAACTTTTCAGTTAGCAGCCAAGTACATTAACCATTTGCAACACTCAAGGACTCCAACTCTTCCTCAGAGCAGTATTGAAAATAATAATAATAAAGTGCCTATATATAGTAATAGAAGGTAGAGGAGAAAATGATTGTGAATGGATGTTGAGTGACCAACCTTCCTTATTTCCTCTACTATAAACATTGAAACATAACTGCTTTTTTCTCTGGCCACCATGTAGCTAGAAGTGTCCATGTGACACAATTTGGATCCATGACACATATACTGCATTGTCCCTGTAGTGTAGATCTGCAGTCTGGATGTGTAGCAGCCATCTGGTGACCATGAGAAGGAAATCAATACATTAAAAAAATATATTGAAAAGCTAAGAAGATAAAGGGGGTCAGGAACAGTGATAGGACCTTGTTGTTAAGTGCCGTGGAGTCAGCTCATAGTGACGCTGTGTACAGCAGACCAAAACATGGCCCTGTCCTGTGCCATCTTCACAAACCTTGCTATGCTTGAGCCCATCGTTGTAGCCACTGTGTCAATCCATCCCACCAAGGGTCTTCCCCTTTTTCGCTGACACTTTGCTTTACTGCGCGTGATATTCTTCTCCAGGGAATGGTCCCTTCTGACAACATGACCAAAGTAGGTGAGACAATGTCTGGCCATTCTCATTTCCAAGGAGCATTCCAGCTGCACTTCTTCCAGGACAGATTTGTTCATTCTTAGGGTGTGGTCCAT